TAACTAAATAAAGGTGAACCATTTCAAATCAAAGGTAACTATCTTGATATTCAAAAAACATAGTACATTATGTACTAAAGGTAAACATAATATTATTAAACGATAAATAAAACATTCACTCAACTAGTGAATAAAGATATATAATAATATTATAGGAGATAAATTATGAAAATCAAGATAAACAATGTACACACATCAGTGAGTACATCAGGCAAGGTATACGAAACATCTTCGTAATGCTGTAAATCAGCAAAGGTATATACAAAGTAGTAAAGTTAAGTAAAAAAAATATAGTAATGCAAGTTCTCTGTTAACCTAAAGTTAACGCAAATATGAAATTTTGCAATACTTAACTAAATTATTTTCAATATAAAATGAAAACAGAGGTATCAAAAGATATTGCTAAAAGCATAAATTCTCAAATTATAATTGAAAAAAGAATAAAGATATACAAACTTTTACTACTTGTATCAAAATATAATTTAAACTTAGTTCGGGATCAAATAGTTATGCAAGAGTGAGGTACTTAACCATATAAAGAAAAAAACATAAAATGCTAGATAATATAGTTCAAAGTCAATTTAGGTATTTTTAATACTGAATTTAAGGGAAAGATAATGTTCAAACAAATTAAAATATTACTCAAACTTGATAACAATATATAAATTTACTACCAATCAATAGAAAAAAAAGAAAAAATCTAATATATATTACCAAAATTTAAGGTAGCTTTTACAGACAGTATTGCTTTAAAACATAAGCAGTAGCAGACAACTAAAAGTTATAAGGTAATGTCTGGTCTGACTCATAAATATTCCGATGGTGTTAAAGGAAACAATTGACTACAGACTGTATAACTTGGTCGAGTAGGTAATAGCAGAATAAAAAGCTTGATATAATATTCTGGCTTTTATTATTCTGGCCTGACAATATATATGAAAAATTTAGTAATATTTTAACTTATTAAAAGGAACGGTATGGAAATCAAGACAATTGCAGAATATATTATTCACTGTTAGAGGTATCGTTATTAACGTTAGGTATGACTTCATTATCATCATCTTCAGATAAATGTGAAAAGCAATATATTTAATTAATTAAAGGTACAAAGTTTTATCACTAAACAAAAAAATTTTTTACTCGATAGGCACAAAAATCAACTTTAGGTAAAAATCCAAAAACTATACACTTTTATCAGTGTATAATGAATATATAGATATATCACTAGCAAAATAATAAATATGTGTAGATAAATATGTGTAAATATGTATAAATAAACACTGAACCTAGTAGAAAATGCAGATACTATATAAAACTTGACACGATACACAGATTTGTAAAAAATGTTAAAATATTAAGTAAGAGGGTATTAGTAAAAATAAAGAAGGCATGCAGTAAGTATCGTTAATCTCTATGAAATAACTATGTGAATTAGAACGATAAAATATAAGGAATCTATTTCAAAGTAATGAGCTGTTTAACCCAGTTGAGGCGCCCATTCTGTAATATGATCTTGTTATTTTATCTATTTTTATAGTGTTTTAAGCTCTTATTATTTGGGAGTGGGTCAGGTTATTAAACAACTCGTATCACTTTGAAAAAGAATGTTGGACGCCACTATATTTAAACTTTCTAAACTTGACAAGCGATTAATGATGAAAATATAGAAAATCACTAACCTTTATGATATTGTAATTAAATAAGGTAGCGACAAATTCTAATTCACAGAGACTTAATTATTCAAATTTAAATGATTTATTATAACTTATCTGTGGTATAACAGGTAGCAGGTACAGGGGATTCGTATGATAGGCTTGGATATCACCAACTGATAATTCTTCTTAGGTAAAGTTAAATCTCGTACACTTCTTTGGATGGCTCGAACTAAACCTCTGAAATACTTGAAACAACCTCTGTAGCTGGAACCAAACTTGTAAGTTTCAATATTTCTACACATGCAGCTGGAACGTTCTTCCTAACAATCTTTTCGATAAACTTCTATAAAACCATCGATATAATTTCTACTGAAACATCTATATACAACTTCTATAGGACCATCTATATACAGCCAAGCTACAAGGAAAAAGGTAAAAATATCAAGAAGGGATTAGGAAGAGTATATAGGAAACAGATAATGCTTTTTACTATTAAATGAACATTTAAATTACTATGTCTGGGTCAAATAACGAAAACGGTTCCAACCGTTACAAATGGGAATAAATAAATTTGCAGCAATGGGAAAACAAAAAGCTACTTTTTGGAATTGTCAAACCCGGAGAAATATACCGGACATAGTTTCCGAAGATCGTCTGCCATTTTACTGATTGATGCTGGAGGAGATATTATAGCTTTAAAAAGGCATAGGGGTTCGAAAAGCACTGCTGTGGCAGAAGGATACATAGATAATTCATTTAGAAATAAAATAAATAGAGCAAATAAAATTGTACAGTCCATTCAGCCGACAAGCTCAGGGAACCTCTTACCAGCATCATCCTCTGCATTATCCTGTGTATCGGTTAACTCCGTGAATAAAAATCTAAACCTTGATTGCGACGCAACACCGCTAAATTTCACGAATTGTTCCAATATAACAATAAATATTGATTCATGTAAAAATTTTATATAAGCGTTAAAACTGTATATATTGTCCACATTTAGAATTTTTAAGTTCACATGAATTGTTCATAAATACAAGAAATATCGTTGCTTAACTTTCATAGTTTTTTAAGTACCTACCTGTGTTTTCAATGTAGTTAACTAATTTATTTAACAATAAAAATCTCTTTAAAACACTACGCTTACTTAGTTACTTAATCTTTTATTTGTTATTCTTTGCCAAAATCCCGACTCTTGCCTCCACTATATAAAACTTTTGAATAATGAGATCACGCTGTATAACAGTCTATAATAGTCGTGGAGAAAGTATAGTCTTCAACTCGCATAGAATATGGCTATTATTCTATGCTCGTTAAAAATATACTATTTTTGTCTTTGTGTACTATTTTAATTACAAATGTAGACATACATAGACATTAGGACTAAATATCAACTAATAAGTTGCCCCACGTTGAACGCCAATTAACAGTTATTGCTGTTTTATATTTAAAGTTGTTAAAAATCTTTCATAAAGGTACCATTTCGGTAGGCGCGACAGACGACCGCCGACGCGACATACGACCGCCGACACGACCGAGAAGTGTCGCTTTACATCTAAAATACATACAATTATATGAAACACATTTCGCACGGCGCGACACGACCGAGAAGTATCGTCCTGGAGACACTTCTCGGTGCAAAGCTTTGCTGCGTATCGCACTCGAGGTCACTGTCCTTGGCATCGCTTTTTTTTGGGGGTGATTCGATCGGAAATTTCTTTCGATCTAGGCAGCGTTGCCAGATTTTAAAACAGTATAGGTAAAAAAAAAACCGTAGATCTGAACAGTAGATTTTAATACAGGGCGAAATAATTAAAATTTGCAGTTTAATAAATAAAAAAACAAGTGTATAAGAAACGAAAAATAAACTTTTTGTCGACCCAAATTAGAAGGTAAACAAAGAATAAAAACAAATAATAACATTTTTAATATATGCTTAACGTACGGAAACAATAAAAGAACAATGAAAAATAATTGGTACCTACTTCTTTTAGTTCTGTCTGAATCAGATAATTCAAAATCGTAGTGTGCATGTTCTTTTTATGATGCCCTATTAATTATTTGTTTCATTTTAAATAAAAACAATGAATATCTTAATGTTTTTTTTTTATGGAGCCAACCTAGAGTAGTGGATGCTTATTACGGTGCTTTTACTGCAGAAAATTTACTAGAGAAAATATTCTTTAACCATTTGCTGAAGAATGAGGCAAACTTAATAAATTAAGAACAAAATTTGCTAGAGACAAAAACAGTGGATCTACGTAAACACAGTAGGTCTGGCAACGCTGATCGTTCCCTGGAATGGTTATCCTGTAACTGTCGCGCGACACTTCTCAAGCTTGCGAAATGCACCAAGCGTAACATTTATGCATCTGTCGTCCTACTCGACCTTGGGGTCGCATCAGTGGTCGCTTGTCTCTTGACGCGCCTACCCAAATGGTACCTTTAGAGTCGTGAATTTGACATTAGGTTTAAAATAACAGAAGCGCTCCGAAATTAGATATTGTGAAAAATTATTAAAAATTGTCAAATTTGTTTTAAAATAATTCCTAAAATCTAAGGTTTTCCAAATATCATGAAGCACAGTTGATAACAATAGTATCTAACTAACGTAACTGACTAAACCTAAAGATAGTGAATCTAGAACAATTCAGGTCTTGTATGGTCTTGGCAACATTTATATATTCTAATTCAGCCGCAAAAGGATCAATAAATAATATAAAAGTCACCCTTGTGCAATAAATTGGATTAATTTCGAATTGGTCGTATTGAAACAAATCTTAGGTATATAACTCATTTAAAAGTTGCAATTCTGCACGAGCGACTTTAATTAGACCTAAATAGGACCCTGCTTAGACTACCATTTAAGCCACGCCCAGAGGGGTCATTTTAAATTACACGTATCTTATGAGAAACAATTGCCTCAAGGCATCTCCATTAGTTTTATACATCCATGGTCCGAATGTTTATCTTTTGACAATCACATAACATGACAAGAATTAGAGACAGGACTCTAGAGGCGAAAAAAAAAATAACGGTAACCGTATTTCTCCAGATTCAGCTTCTCCTATAATATTTTTCTGTGAGGCTGTTTCATTATCTATAGATTATTCCCATTCATTATCTCTATAGTAATTATTATCAGACCTATCTTATACTCCTCGTACCCGCCTGTTAAACAAATATCACTATTTTTGGGACCGATTCTTCACAAATGTATACAAATACAAAATTAGTAGGTTTGGCGAAACATAACATCAACATTTGCGTACAAATTGTTTAATTAATCAAGATCTCCAAAACAATTAAGTTACAATCAATATGTATAAATTGTATTATTTACATCCTTTAACTAACTAGTAAATAAAGTAGATTCAAATCGATTACAATATAATAAAAAAAATATAAACAGATTAGACAGCGATTCTCACATCACTACAAAACTACCAACTATTATGTGTATAGAACTAAACTGAACTATTTTCTTCTGCGTGGTAAATACCAATATTTACAATAATAACAGTAAGCGCCCCAAAGTTTGAATTAAAAATGCGTCTATAAAAATTGAAGAGTGCCATATGCAAAAGGTGGTATATGAAAATATAGAAATTTTACAGGAGGTACAATTTATGTCTGTAATAGATTAGTTCACTATTTCATCCAAATACCCTTTAGCTACCAGAGTAATATTTTTTTATATATAATTGTAAATTTACAATCTACTCAAGAGTAGTAGGTAAATGAATTGGTTTCTTGTGAGGTAGCATGAGGCGGGCACCATCCATCGATGGGTCTCCGGGGTTTACCTATTCTAAGAGGTCTTCTGGCCAGTGACGTTTTTGTCTTCTGCGTTCCATAGGATCAGTTTATAGGTTAGCTATCAATGGATTTGTATGATTTTCATTCCTAGTTTTGTTTTTGTTCGCTAAGGTATGGATTACTTCATTGCTTACGAACCATGGAGCATTAGCTATCGGTCGAAGTGTTTTGAATTGGAACGTTTGTAATATTTTGGTGTTCCATGGTTTGCTACAACCTTATAGCTCTATACCATATGACCAAATTGGCTTTAGTATAACTTTATATCGAAGTGCCTTGTTATCAAGTGATAACTGTGCGCGACGACCAATTAACCAGTTCATTTTTTGGGTTTCTAGCTTCAAGTGTTCTTTTTTAGCTTTGATATGAGTTTTCCAGGTTTACTTTTGATCTAAGTGTAATCCAAGATATTTAACTTCAGTTTTCACTGGTACTTTCATGTTGTTGATGGAAACTTTTGAACAAACACGTGATTTATGTGGATTTATCAGTGTTAACTTTTATCCTCTGTTGCAGCTAATCTTATAGTAGATTTAAAGGAAATATTAGCCTTTTGGATGCTCTTATAGGATCTCGATATAATGACATGATTGACGGAACGTCTGCAAAGGTGGCGATTAGTGTATTGTCGGTGGTCGGAATATCAGCATTATATAGTAAGTAGAGGAAAGGGCAAAGGGCAGAGGATGCTTCCTTGAGAAACCCCTGACTTTATGGATTGGTAATTTGATAAACAGGATTGAACTTTGACTTGTATATATCTGTTGCTTAGATAGGATTTGAGTAATAGGAAAATGTGGTGAGGTAATAGCTGCTTTATTTTGTATAGTAGTCCTTGGTACCATACTTTGTCAAAAGCCTGTTGAATGTCTAAAAAATTCAGAGGTTTATAATCTTTTTTGTCCTAAAGTTTATTTGATATAGTTTACAATCATATGACATTGTCGGATTGTCGAATGTTGTTCTCTGAAACCAAATTGATGTATAGGTATCAGTTCATCTTTAGGGTATTATTTCGCTTATTATATTGAGGAGGATCCTTTCGAAAACTTTAAATAACTGTGGCAGTAAACTTACGGGTGTACTTGTATTAGGTTCTTGAAGAGATTTTCCTGGCTTCTCTAACATAATTATTTAAGCATATTTCCATTGTATTGGGAAATGATTAGTCTGCAGTATTCTATTAGTAATTAGTAATTGCTTTTCTGGGTAGATATTTTAAAACTTTTCCAACAATGAGATCGTACCCAGGAGCTTTGTGTGAATTTATTAATTGTATTTCTCGATAAACTTTAGCTGGGGAGAGAGTGATATAAACAACCAAAATGCCATGGTTCTTGTTCTGCCCTCCGCAGTTTTCAGACGACAAAACAAATTTTTGTTTTTAAGTTTTAAGCTAAACTAATCAGTTTAAACCAAACATCTGTCATTTGGCACTCACTACGTTTTGATATTTAATTCTTCATATATCTCTCTTTGTGATATGATATATTTTTATTGTGTAAAGAAAGCACAGCTTATTTAGCCCAAAATCTGCATTTGTAAATAAGTGGTTCTTACGACGTTTTGCATATGGCACGCTTCAATTATAGATTATTTTGTACTCACATGTGTATATATGGTTTGAAGATAAAATGCACTCACTGATTAGAAATACATTGATACATGGAAAAATGTCTAAAGAATGGTCAAAAGCGGTGTTGTTTCTTCTAATAAAGAAAGGAGATGGTATGATTTGTAAAACCTATAGAGATATAGCAATTCTGAATATTGCATATAAAATTCTAGCTATCATTAGTAATGAAATGAATAAAATAGTAGAAAAAGGAAAGGGAAGTAATGGATCAAATTTTTGTCTTAAACGAATTACAAACAGAAAGTTATGAACATCAATTAGATATTAATATATTATTTATAAGCTTATGACAGAATTAAATGGAAGGAGCTGTATAAAGCAATGCTAGAGTTGGGAATTAGTAAAAAATTGTAATTATGGCGCAACTAACAATACATTATAGCTAAAGCAGTGTGAAAATTATTGGAAAAGAATCAAAACTTGTTCAGGTCAAGACCAACTGTTGTCCACAGTATTATTTAATGTTATATTAGAGAAATAATTCAGAAATGCAAATAATATAGCTGGATAACTTTACCATAATAATCATCCAATGCCTTGCCTATGCACTTGATATAGCCGTAATAACAAGTGCCAAAACCGATTTGAAATAAATCAGCTAGAAAAGTAGAAGTGGAAATAAATGAGGAGAAAACAAATTACATGAATTCGTCACATAAGTAGTACTTTGAAGTGAACAAGTTGGTAGTGAACCCAAAGCAGGGAAAAGATACAGTTTTAAGCAAATATTTGGGGGTAACACAGACTAGAAATACAGGATCTGAGGAAGAGATACAAGCTGGACTTAAGAATCGTTAAGATTAAAACGCATTAGGCAATCGCAGCCCCGTCGCATCGCGATCTTTCCTAGTCTCGAGCGCGCACGGTCTCTAGAGTTTCTAAGGAAAACAAAGGAGGAGAACGCGATTAAAGTAAGTACAACTCTAGAACACCAAGTGGAATTGCATGCATTATATATATAGGAAAGAACTGCACCGCGCGCGCTTGAGACAAGCACAGACCGCGATTTCATAATGCGTTCCCACCTTAATAGATGTATGTGTAAATATCAGTCATGTATCGAGAAAATTTAAAAATACGGGTGTGTATCAGGATGGTTAGTCCACTTTTGCGAGCAAGATATACAAATAAAGATACAAATATGGGAAAGGAAAGTGCTTAGAAAAATATTTGACGGTAAAAAAATCAATAGGCTTTGAAAGAAATTACCTATAAATATAAATATAAAGACACACATATAACGGGATCATCAAAGCGCACAGAATTTGTTGTATGGCATATTTTAAGGATAGCAAGGGCTAGGTTGTAGGTAAAAAAACTGTTTAATACCACAGGAAGGAAGACAAGAAAAAAATTACCAGACACATGAAAAAAGGATGTTCTTAGTGCTTATGTATTGTATACAAAATATTTGGATCATGTCTGAAGAGGATATTATTTTAATTATGGTTTAAAGTTAATCTTGGGCCTGTTACGTTTTCTACATGCATATATTATATAAAATTTGAAATTAAATGATTGTATAAATAAAATAGTAAACAAAGATTGGCGAAAATTATAATTTTGATCTCGGCTGTTGTTCATCTCAGCACAAGCGCCTCGGTGATCTATATTATCCCTCGACAGTAATGATGCATTTCCCGTCTCGGTATGAATCTACTCTTAAAAGTTGGTATGGGCATTACAATTTTATATGTAATCATATCTTTCGATGAATAAGGATGATCCATGAAAACCTATAAAAAGAAAACTAATCTTAAAAAAAAACGAATTTTAAAGTATATAGCCTAATAAGTAGTAGTTTTTATATCGTTACCAAACTGATCCAGTGTATAGAAAACAATGATTATAAACAGTGCATATTTATTATACCTAACAAAAATAGCATGTTAAAGTATAAGTGGATATAACGGTCTTTAAAACACGCGCGAGTGTTTTAAAGACCAGTTATCCACGAATACTTTACGCTATTTTTTTTATTGGTATACTTTGAAATCCTAAATATTGGTATTATCTCTACAAAACAATGGAAATAAGGCCGGGATTTTTTTATTTAATTTAATTATTTAAAATTAATTCTGATGCCTTGGTAGGATTTCCCACTCGACCATTCACTGTTGGGTTCTAATTAACAGTGCTGTTCCTAAAGTGGCACTGGGAAACAGTAACAAAGTCTACATAGAACACGAGGCTAATGACAGCAGTCGATGTCGATGATACCAAAAGTCTGTTCCAACAACAATCACAAACCAGTCACTGACACCAAGATTCTGCGCTGTAGATAATTTAGCGGTCCCAATGATTTATTGTGCAGAATCGTCATATCAGAGACTGATTTCTGATCGTTGTTGGAACAGACCTCAAATAAAAAAAAAAGAACTAATAACTGAAAATGGTTGAATTTGTGATGTAACATCAGTATACCTCGTTGTCATGAAAATGAGGCAAACAAAAATTTATTTTCAATCTGTCACGTAAGATTAATTGTCGCAACAGTTGTTTTTGTTTAAAATGAGTTCAAATATTAAGTATTTAAATAATAAAGCAGAATCGCGCTTAATACCACAAAAATCCTAAGCGGTTTAAAAAAAAGAATACGATAAATTCAACACGTGGATGGAAGAGCAAATGGTTATACATATAGATGAACGAGTTGTTCTCGCTTTTCTCCAGAAAATGTCGGAACAGTACGTACATCCGCTACCAATATGGCGAATAATGGCATGACAATAGATCTAATCCAACGACAAGTAGGATGGAAATCGGCAGCTGCGGCGACTGGTTACGTTGAAGAGAGTATTATCAATGAGAAGAATGTTCCAAATATTATATAGTGCTATTAATTGAAGTACAACTTCATTGACTTCCAAGACTGTTAGCAATCAGCAATCTTAATTTAAACAGTATTTCCTCTGATTTAAAAAAGCGAAGTTTTAATATTTCAAACAATACTAACTGTACTTTCCACAAACATTAGGGTGATTCATTTCCGCAAAGTTTTTTTTTTTTTCGGCGCTCAAGCAAAATATTAATCTACCTATAGAAAAAAAAATTTTCACCAAGGTAGAGCTCTTAATATCAATTTTAAGTACTTGCAATTTAAATTTAAAGTTTTCCCATTTAAAATGCATGTAAAAAAAATGTTTTTTTTTTCAAATTTCTAATGCTCGCCCGCTTTTTACAATATTGTGAATCGGTTTTATGGACCTTGCAGGGAATTTCACGCTCTACAAAATTGTCTTAGTGTTTTTTTGTGTAACTCGTAGTGGTTCGCCAGTAGAAGTCATCAAAATTCAATTTTTTGAATGAACATTTTTTTTTGCAATTTTTTTTAACAATTCGTAAAAAAATAGTAAAAAAACAGAGCTGAATCGTGAAAAATAGTCTTTTACAAATATTTGATGAATTTACGGCCATTTTTATATCTCAAAACGTAAGTTATTCATAAATATTAACCAATTATGCTATTTAAATTAAACTTTCTTATTTACTATCGATATAATTCTCTACAACAATAACTTTTTCAGAGTTATTATGATTTCTGACTAAAATAAATATATACGTAATACATCAATTCATAAAAAAACAACAAATATACAATTGCAATTTAGATTCTGCAATTTTTCACCATTTCCGTAATATAGCAATAAATATAAATAAAGGTTATTCAATTTTTTGAGCAAAATTCTTAAATTAACGAAAAAGTAAATTGTTTTTATTGTCAACTTCATTTGCTTCAATATTGTATAAGTAGAAATTGCTATTTGAATAATTGCACTAAATAATATTGTGATGGCATATTCTAACATAAGTAAAAAAATAATGATAATTATTTGATTGCGAAAGCAACTGTTACAATTTTATGATTGCTCTAGTTAATTAGTATGACGTTAGCGACTCTATTGTCTTTGTAAACGGGTTTGATGCTTTATCTTATACTTAACCCCAAAATGTATTGTTTGTTGTATTTAGTGATTAGTCCGAGAACAAAGTAACGCTAATATTCTAACAAAATAAACCAAGTTTTTGATAAACTTTATTCAAATTACTATCATAATATAAAATGTTTGCTGTTACTTGTGTTTAATAGTGTAGAGTGTTTTAATTGTTCCTTAATATTCTTCAGTGTATCTAATTACATTTTTTAAACCTTCTAACCTCTTTTTTGGCAACATGACTGAAGTAATTGGTAATAGAACATATAACTATTTGATAGGTTTTCAAATTAAAGAATTAAATAAACACAAATTACCTACTTACCGTGACGTTATTAATTTATTTATGTATAAACATTCGACTTTAAAATTAACTATACGTGATAGTACTACCGAAGCTGTCAATGAATTAGAGGTTATGTGGAATAGAATTGGAATTTCTACGACACCGAAACGAAATAGTATTCGAAAGTTTGAAAAGATTTATAACGAATACAAAGACATTAAGAAACAGTATTTTTCCAACAATAACTCAGACAATCAAAAGCACAAAGTTGAAAATTTTGTTACTCAACTAAACAAATTATTTGATATTGCTGATAATAGTGAAGTTAAAAATCTTTCAAGTGATCTACAATTATTTTTAGAAGAATGTCGTCAAAACGATAGTAATAAATGTTTACCATTCATATCTGAATTAAACGATAATTCAATTATATCTTCTGATCAATCAGTTTTACAGGATGAACAGGATGAAACACTAGATGATAATAACAATGTTGAATTAAGTAAGTATGGAATTTTACTCACACTGATAATTTATTTATAGTTTTTGCGTTCTTAATAGTAAATTTATCCCATTGTGATGTTATATTTTATACTTTTTTGCTATGATCTTTGCACAAATAATGATTTCCTAAGCAATTGTAAGCTACTTGTGTATTATTAATATGTTTCTACTTTTTTTGTAGATCTGAGTCAGAAATTATCGCAGTTCTCAATGTCTGGTGAAGAAAGTAGCCAATCATCAAATCAATCTGAAAAACGACCTTTGTCAGATTACGAAGACGAGCTTCCGCAAGCAAAAAGGAAACGTAAGATTGATGTTATGACGGAAATTTTAGTAGCGGTACTGGATCGTACTAAAACTAGCAATCGGAGTGCAATGCATATTATTTCTGCTGTAATTATAAATCTTGGATTAGATATTGACAATTATAATATTAGCTACACGACTGTTCGTAATGCTCGATTAAAGTTTCGAAAAACAGTTGCTGGGAATTTGAAAGATGGAATACAGGAAACTGCGCAAAATCTCATCTTCCATTGGGACGGTAAGTTACTTCCGGAACTTTCCAATCAGCCAATGAAAAAAGTCGAAAGACTTCCTATTGTTGTTTCCGGAATGAATGTGGAACAATTACTCGGTGTACCTGCTTTAGATGAGTCTACTGGAGCTAATGAAGCTGAAGTCATTTTTGAAGCCTTAAACGAGTGGAATATTTCTGACAGTATAGTAGGGATGTGCTTTGACACTACTAGTGTAAATGCTGGTAAATTTAAAGTTTGAATGAATTTAAAAATAGATTAATTGTAAAAATTAAAGGAACATAATGATTTTTGATTTTTAATTGTCAATTTAATTTTTTTTAATAGTTTATGATTTTAATTATTTAATAATTTTGATTATTTCTTACAGGTGATAAAAGCGGTGCGTGCGTTTTATTAGAAAAAAAATTAAACAAAGAGTTATTATATTTGGCTTGTAGACACCACATTTTCGAAATAATATTGAAAAATGTAGCAGCAGTAGCGTGGCCAAGTACTAATAGTCCTAATGTACCGATTTTTGTCAGATTTAAAAATAATTGGGAAAAAATAGACAAAGTAAAATATGATATTGGTACAGAGGATGTAATGATCAAAGATATCTTGAACGAAAAAAAAACTACTCTACTATCTTTCATCGCAGATCATCTACAGGTAAAAACATAAACGAAAAACTTTGCACAGTTTCACACCAGTGAAAAAAAAAATTGTTGAGTTGTGCTTTATTTTTCTCACTAAGTAAACAATTGCCATATTTTAATATTGACTAAAATTTATTTCTTACAGAATCGAGCTTCAAGAGATGATTATTATGAACTTTTGAAGTTGAGCTACATTTTTTTAGGAGGTGTCCCGAACGGAGGTATAAAATTTAGAGCTCCTGGCGCTATGCACCATGCTCGTTGGCTATCAAAAGCTCTATACAGTTTAAAAATATATATGTTCAGAAAACAATTTCACATCAACCCTTCAGAGTTACGTGCTTTACGAGAAGTTTGCGTATTTATTGTTTTGTTTTACGTTGAAGCATGGTTCGTAGCAACCAGTGCTATTGAAGCTCCTTATCATGACTTAAAATTATTTCAAAATTTATTGGAGCACAAAAATCATCATCCAAAAGTTGCCGAAGCTGCTTTAGAAAAACTTTCTAAACATTTATGGTACTTGAATGAGAACCTTACAGGTTTAGCTCTTTTTGATAAAAAAATATCCCGAGAAGAAAAATTAAAAATAGTTGATTCGATAAGAAACAAAAAATCGAGCAATAGTAAAAATTCTCGATTTACTTTGGATAAAAAAAATGTTGACACAATGTCATCTAAAAGTATAAGTGATTTTGTGAATCAAGGATCTCTTACTATTTTCAAAAAGTTTAATTTGACGTATGAATTTTAAGACCTTGACCCTGATTTTTGGGAAATAGATGAAGAATATATTACTTGCTGTGAAACTTTTGAACAATTACGTGTTGT